TACTATTTTGAAAAGCACAGCCCTCATCAGAAAACAGTCTGCAATTTTAAAATTTACACTAAGGAGATATTATGGGAGTTTGCAAGTGTTTAACTTACTGTTCTAGAATTATATCAAGAAGCAATCCACTAGGAAGAATGTATGCAATGTGTTCATTATTGAAACTGTCCTATCAATTTGATTTGAAACTGTCTCATTGCTATTTGTTTCTCAATAAAATTATGGGAAAAAAATTTCAACCAACTTCATTCTTTATTATTTCTTTTTGATTATTTTCTTACATTTATTATTCAGCTTTGTTTCTAAGGCTTGAATTGGATGCTTATTACCTCTTCATTTCACCACCCTTTTATAATACAAGCATGCTTTCCTATAGTATTTCTTCAAAATACTGCTGGAGTTCCAGCTAAAAAATTCATAATGTGGCATTAATTTTTTACTTTCATTCTTTTCTAAAATTGTTTTCCTTCCTATTACTTGAACATATATTTTTAAGTTCACAAAGTTTAGTATTTAAATTTATTTTCTTAATTTTCTTCTATATTTGAAGCTAAATTGTCTATGATCAAAGAGGTGACCCATTGCTGCAGGCATTATCTGGATGTTCCCCCAAAGCTTCAGGTGGTCATAGGGGTGGGCTTTGTGGACGGCACTGAATCTAGAGTTGGTGATTAGCCGATTGTCTAGTGCTGGGATTGGCAGCGTGAGTGATGCCCCCAACCTAGGAAGGGTAGCCTGCATGCAGCACAAGGGAAGAAAAGAGGCTTGCTGTCCCCTTTGGCTCTTGTTGCTTTTGGTGTCTTCTGCATCATGAATGGTTACCGCTCTGCCATGTGCTACCCTGACTTGGAACCAGCTGATTACCAGTTATGGACTGAAACCTCCATAAACTGTGAGCTAAATAAACTTTTTCTACCTTAATTTTGAGCATCAGGAATTTCTGTGTCAACAAAGAGAAAAAGTAACTAAGACATTCATATGCAGTGGCACCTCAGTTTATGAACTTAATTTGTTCCATGATTTTGGAAAAGACAGCCATGTGTGTGTTTATATGGCCATAGTTGTGTGTGCTACTTGATGGAGACTTTGAAAAAAAAAAATTTGTGAAACACTTCTGTTTGTGCAGCAAATTGCTTTCAAACAAAAGCATTCATGAACCATAGTAACACTGTACTTAATCTCCATGATTTCCTTTAGGATCTAACTGACAATTTTTAAAAGTTCAGTGTACATTTCAAAATGAATTATTTTCAGTTGTGTAATAACACACACACACACACACGCAAATATATACGCATATGTGTGTGTCAGTTAATCAAACCTATTAATTTTATTTACCAAATACTATTTATCTTTAATATTATTCCACATGCGTGATAAGAATTACATGTATCAACTTCTACTAATTATTTCAAGCTTTGTTTTATAAATGCTAGAACTATTTTACTGGATCCATACAAATTGTTTTTTTTTTATTTTTTTTATTTTTAGGGAAGGGTCTACAGGGTGCTCAGGGTCTCACCACTAGATCAGACTCATAGTGATCCGCCTGTTTACAGCCTCCCAAGAACTGAGATCACAGACGCACACTACCACGCCCAGTCTCAACCATCATCTCAGCCCACCCTGGGGTATGGGGCTGGCACAGCTTTCTGGGGATCGAACCTGGCCTCTGAGCTCTGCATAAGCAGGAACTTTAGTTTGCTGAGCTATCTGGCCGGCCCTTACTTATGAGTATTTACATTCTAGGATTATTGTTGCTTCTTACATCTTTTATTTTAAATAATCAAAAGCTTTTAGGTATAATTTTGTGGTCTGTTTGTAAATATATTACCTTAAAAACTTAGTAAAGTATTTATTGATACAATTCCTACCTAGTTAGCCCCAGCAAATCCTATGTCATTAAACATACATAAAGTCTTTTGAAGACACAGATTTCAAATGGCTTCGATTTCTTTGCTTTTCTTCCTTAAATTTTTAACTTTTTATTTTGTGACAACCCCTGAAGGCTGTCTGGAAACATAGTTATGAAACTCTACCTCAAACAAAATCTTTGACTTGGGTCGCTTCAATCAGCTGAGAAATTTTACTCGGCTTTTTGCTCATTACTTTTTCTTTCTTTAAAATAATATTATGTCTCAGTATTTGGGGATTATAATCAAATTATTAACATGAGAAAGTACGAAATTTCTAGACTTTTTTCAATGCACTCTTTCCTTCTTTCTTATGAAATGGTCAGTTCTGTCTCTGATCTCATCTCTGTCCTTTCTTATAGTAACATTTTGATTCTTGAAATACGTGTAAGTGCTCACATTAGTGAAAAGTTTATCACCTAAATATTTATTACTAATATTAAATGGTCTTTCTTCCTCATCCTTCCTTTTATCTTTCCCTTCCTCTCTCTCTCTCTCCTTCCCTCTCTCCTCTTTTCTTTCTACCTGTGCTGTGCTGGGGATGAAACTCAAGACCTCACATCTGCTAGCCATGCATACAACCACTAAGCTAGAAGCTAAGCCCTACATCAGATTCTTAATAAAGATAAGTAATAAATTTCTCTTGAAATTCCCTCCAGACACAAAATTGTCATGCAGAACCAAAATGAATGATGCCCTGTTCTAGCATGAACTACAAAACTTTTAATAATATGGTTTAAAAACAGGTCTTCAATATTTTTTGAGAATATGTGTGTTATTTTGCTTTTATATGTATTAGTTTTCTAAGTCTATATGCTATCATAGAGTTTACGATGTTTTTCTTGATCCCTCAAACTTTATTTGCTTCATTTATAGTTTTCTTATTTAAAAAGAAAGTCAAGGGACAGACCAATATGCAAGTAACCTAACAAAGCCAATTTGTCCATGTCAGAAGAATTATCCCTCTTCAGAAATGATCAAAGATGTGTAAGCCTAGAAAACAAAAGTGATTCAGAGTTATGCTACACTCAAACAATCTAAATTTCTCATCAAATCATTCTTTACTCAATTCAGATACATTACTCATGAAGCCACTCATCTTTAAGATAAATGTCCAGTCAGGAAGAGTTATTATTGCAGTGCACACTTTGGGATTATAGAGTATAAATTGACTTTGCACAGAGCAAGAAACTATTAAAGTCAGAGAAGATCTCCAAGTTGATCTCCAAGAATGTGAAAAATGCAAGGATTAAGAAAGCTGAGGAAACTCAACACCAAAGACAATGTAATGGTTTCATCAAGGTGACTTTTTATTTACTTGCCATTTTGTTTATTTTAGCCATTTCAGGAGAAAACTATATGTAAGACAAGTTTACAACTTTATTTTATGTAAGTGTACATATTTAATGTGACATGCATATCCCAAAAGATGTCAAAGGTATTGAGGTATTGATTCTCATTGATGTGAATCAGATTCTTACTGAATTTTCTCTGTTTAGGAAGGCTACAGTATGTGAAACACATATTGAAATACTTCTGTAAATTAGAAAAATAAATTGCCAGTGTTTGAAGGTTAAACTTGTGTTATCCAAAATTAATTAATATTAGATTTATCCTCATTGATGCTCCATGATAAAAAGCATTACTTTAAGGGTCAGTCAGATAGCTCAGCGGATTAAAGTGTCTGCTTAGGCAGACACCGGTCGGAGGTTGGTACCTGGCATGCTGTGCCAGCCGCGCCCACAGAGTGGACTGAAACATGCACCGGGCGTGGTGGTACGTGCCTATAATCCCAGTGCTTGGGAAGTTGAAAACAGGAGAATCACGACAAGTCCAATCTTTGTAGTGAGACCCTGTAGGCCCTGTACTAAATACAAAAATAAACAAACAAACAAAAAGTATTACTTTATAAGCTTTTCACTGTATTTAGATTTACCTTTTTTTCTTTTTTCTGTATTTTAGGGAAGGGTCTACAGGGTGTTCAGTGTCTCACTACTAGATCAGACTCGTAACAATTCTCCTATTTACAGCCTCCCAAGTGCTGGGATTACATACCACAGTACCACGCCCAGTCTCATTCCCTGTCTGGGTGTACCCTGGGAACATGGCTGGAGTCAGGTCCAGGGGTTGAACCCCTGGCCCCTATACTTGCTTACAGGTGCTTTAATCCACTGAGCTATTTTGCCAGCCATATATTTATCTTAATTTAAGCTAAGACTGTGAACAAATTTTAATTTAAAAAGTTCATATCTTCACAGTCCTAAGGGGAGAAAAAGAAGCAAGGTAAAATTCTGAAGATTAAACCAGATACATAAAAGCAGGCCCTGTGTAATATTAATCCATATTGTTAGAGTATGAAATACTCTTTCTTTTAGACAGGGATGGGAAGCAACAAGTTAGCACAAGATGTACTGGTAATGTCCTGTTCTTGGCCTGGTGATGGAATATTATTTTCATTTGGCTTGTGAAAATGTAGTGAGCAACATGTTTGTTTGAGGTATACATCTCTAAACACATATTACACTTTTGGTTCAATAAAAACATTTTATAATTTGAAAGTTAATATTTTAATCATCTAAGACAATAGACATATATGCTAAATTAGCCCAGTCCACAAAGCTGTCTGAAATCGGAGCCAAGACAATATTTGTAAAATGTGAAGACATAGCTGTAAAATGTCTTCTAATCTTGAATTTGCTGGATTAATGCAGTGATGTTGACTATTTTTTATCATTCATGGACTATGCAAACAGAAGTAAAATGTCATTAAATCAGAATAAAAGTAAACTGGAAAACTGAACCTTATTCAGAATTCTACCAGGTGGATTAAACAATGTTCTATCTGGATACTTATAAAATAGCATTCAGATGAATATTACAATAAAATAAAAGATCGTATGCAAAGAGAGAACTCAACTACTGGGAAGGTTCTTGGACAAAGTCAGTCCTAGAGTTCTTTCCTCATCTATACTCCTAACCTGTTGGAGATGGAGGCCAGATCAACAATTTCTATGTATCTTACATTGTACTTTTTTCCATCAGAAGATCCAGTTGTAAGAGATGGCTTATCCTTTTAATCCCTAACAGAAAGAAAAGAAAAATATCACCACTCAACAAGTCAAAGGACCCAGTGCGGAGGCCTCTGCCATTGTTGATAGCCCTCCACCATCGCTGTCCTCAGTTAGGAAGAATAACCCACTCTATGGAGACATGAGTTTGGAAGAAGCGATGGGAGAAAGAAAGAAAAGTCCTTCATGGACTATTGAGGAATATGACAAGCACTCCTTGCACACAAACCTTTCTGGACATCTAAAGGTACTTATAACTGAGCATCAGAAGTACATTTTTCTCTTGCATATCTGTAATCAAATGTAGAATGTCTTAATCCCATTCCTAAGTTACTAAGAAACACAGAGAGAATCAAGGTAATGTGAAAGTTAGAAAGAAAAAAACAAAAGATTGAGAATGACCCTTTCAATTAGTGACGGAGGTCAGTTAAATAACCCTAACATGCAGTATTATGGAGATGACATGATTTCTTCACTAGACACAAAATATCTGGATTTCAGTTCATTTGTGGCCCTGGTTTAAGTTTTGCCTTCCTAGTCAATATGTATTTTTAAAGGGCCGGACAGGTAGCTCAGTGGACTAAAGCACCTGCTTAGGCAGAGCGCAGTGGCTGGGTTCGATCC